ATTTTCTCTGAAAGCTGGAGCTGAGATACAGAAAATGCAGTCTTCACATGGGCATCAGTTTTGGTTTGAAATGTGCCACACTAGGGCTCATTTATGTTTTTAAGTGACATCAGAGACACGCTGGAAATGCTGTAAAATTTTTGGTACATGATTTAATATGCCCAACAACCCTGTTCTGTCAAGCAGAAGAAAATTCCCTTCTGCAAAGCCACATTAAAATCACCTCCACATCACTTGTAAACACTGAACTGGCAACCTAACTGTCCATCTATTTTATTGCTTCCACCTGCTGAAAGCAGCACTGCACATTATACTTTCACTTTAATATTAAAAATCAGCAACCAGATGCTTATGCAACAACAGCCAAAAAAAAAAAAAAAAAAAAAAAAAAAAAAAAAAAAAAAAAAAAAAAAAAATCAGTCTTCATCAGCACTTAATCAGGACGTAGGGCTCTTTCAGGGATGCATAATGGGATACAGGACCTTCCAGTTAAGAGTCCCCAGCTTGAATTCCAGCCAGAGTTATCACTAATGAAATATTCTTGCCATACAAGACCCCAGCACCCACGCTGCTCTGTTGCCAACCTGAAACAGGGATGTGAGCACAGACCATTTCTTCACAGGTGCCTCATGCCACAGAATTCATCATCACAAGATGGTCATTTGGCAGTCCAGGGGTCAGAGCTGGCTGTCAAGGCAATTTTTATCTGAGAAGGCACAGCAACTGGAAAACCGACCGCTGCTGTGTGTTTGCAGCAGGAAGGCAGAGACAGAACAGGCCTGGTAGGGTTTAGAAGGTCAGCTCTAGCGCTGTGCACACAAGCCTGAGATGCTCTGCTCCCCAAACACCTGGCAGGGAATAAATGTCCCCAAGCATGTCAAAGCTATCTGACAATACAGTCAGGATGCAAGCCACCTAGCCTAGCAATTGAGCCTGGGTTAGCCTCTTTTGTCCCAGAGGCTGTCTCCAGCAACAGAAAGGGAGAGCACCAGCCCTGCTACTCCAAGGCCAGACTACTGGAAGGCAACAGCTCCTCTGGTGAGCATCCAGGCAGAGAGCTATACGGCATGAGGGAATCTCACACGCAGACAAGGCAATAGCCTAACATATGTTCAGTGAGTATGTTTAATTGACAACCTGAAATAAAAGTCAGCTGTGGGAGTAAAGACAGAGAAGGGGTGGGGGAAACCAACTCTGCTTCTAGATAAGACTTTGTAAATTACAAGGTCTTAATTACATTAAATGCATTATGGTAGCATATGCACATTGCTAATAAGGCAGAGATGGAGGAAATGGGACTAGATGCTAAGACTAGGAGTTGAACAGCTGCATTCTAGACTTGATTTTCAAATTAGAAAGTTTCTGAACCACTTTGCCCTAGTTTAGCCATCCATAAAACAAAGGCAATAATCTTTCTTCACAGGGGTGTTGAGAGGTTTAATTAATTAATGTTTACAAAGTCCATTGAGATTTCTGACTGACATTTGAAGTAATTCAGAATACTTTTTAACTGCATTTGTTTCTTCTACTGCACCGCTCAAATATCTCCATATTAAGGTCTCCAAAGGAGAAAAAGATGGAAAGAAAAACTATGGAGACAGGTACAGACCAGTAAAAAAACAACCCAACAAATCCAGCACTTCAAATCCACTGCTGTCCCATCAAAGCCATCTGAATACTGCCTTTTCCACAGATGAAGAACATGTATATCCAGACACCTGCTGCGTTTCCCTTGCAGATCTGTTAAACTTAGATCTCTGATATTTTTGCCTGTAGCACCATGTTGGTAAACAACAAGGTATTAAATGGCAGAAATAATAGGCAGTCTTGTCGGGTTGATTGGATCAACAGAGGAACGGAAGAGGAGAAGAGCGAAGGGATGAAAGCACCAAAAGAAGACCAGAAAGTGAGAAGAGAGCACTAGACAGAGCAAGAGGCAAGCCGAGTGTAGGGAGGCGCCAATCATTAATCAGGGACTTCACACACTGAGCTATTCCATGTAATGTATTCCCACAGATGCTCAGGTACACTGGAATACATTATCCTGAGAGACCACTCTGGCATGAACAAGGCCACATATGCGTCCAAGTGCCAGAGATAAACTGAATATTGGACACACTCAAATGCACAAGCACACACAGGGAGCTGCTTGATACCTGGGCTAGGATTTCTCAGCCTCCACATTGTCCCCCATCTCAGAGCAAAACCTTTGTGTGGCCAGTTTCTGTAGGGGGCGTTTGTGGGCTCTGAGATACAATCAAAACGCAGACAGAGGAAATGCAAATGTCATTCAGCTCCCTTTCATTGTCAGGAAGGACACATGAGGATAAAATACTGTGCACTGCATCCCTTCCCCTATTATGTGTCCTACTGCTTTTGTCCTAATTTATCCCATGCATAATTTATTTACATGTGTATTGTTTCCTGATCAGCAACTTTAAAGAATAAGTGAAAATTATAAAATGTTTTATTAAACAAGTTGTTAATAAAAAATGCAGATGGTGTCAGACAGCCAGTACCAATTCTGTTTCCTCCACGTAGCATTAGGAGTTTAAAAGGCTCAGGGAGAAAAGCGAATCCAGCACTTGATGTCTATTGTTTCCTCCTCTCCCGGCCCCCAGGGGCGAGGGGAGGAGAAGGGAGCTAATTATAAAGAGCCTAATCCTGCCCTCCCCGACTTCAGGCAGCAGCGGGATCGGGCCCTCGGTTCATTTTGGCACAAGCAGAGAGTCCGCCCTCCCCGGAGATCCTCCGCCGCCACTCTCGGGAGCCCCACGGTGTCACCAAGTGCGAGGCGAGGTCCCGTCCTCCCGTGGGGGCTCCCCCGCTCCGCCGACCGCTCCCCGCCTCTCAACCCGCCGTCCCCCGGAGCCCACCCAGCCCGGGGCTTCCTCGCTACCGGCCGTACCGGCGAAGGGCACAAACGTAGGTGGCTTTTCCCCAGCCAGGTGAGGAGCCGTGCGGTGCCGCCCCGTGGGAGCGCTTCCCGGTCCCCCGGGAGGGGCAGGGGGAGAAGTTGCTCTCGCCCGCCTGAAGCATTAACCCCGCCGTCAAACGGGGGGCACACGCCGGCTCTCCCCTCCGCTTTTCTCAGCCCCACATCCCCACCACCGCCCCCCCCGGGAGGAGACTCGGAGCGCTTTGGTTTGGTTAACCCCCCGACAACTGCGCTTCCCCTCTCCCCGCGGGTTTCTGTCAGGCGCTACCGAGAGGACGGGGGAACGAACGGCAAAAGGTTTTCAGCCAGGACGGAGCAGGAGAGCTGATAAACATGTCAGCACCCCTTCCCAGGCTCGAGGCTTGCCTTTTTCTCCGGATCGCAGAGAGACACCGGCAGGAATCCCTGGAAAAACCTTCCAAGTGTTTTTCCAACTCCAGCCGGAGAGACTCGAGTCGGGAAAAAAAGAAAAAGAAAAAAAAAAAAAAGAAGAAAAAAAAAACCAACAAAAGACCAGTATTCCTTTTAAAACTAAGAACACTCATTTGGGATGCAGAAAACCCAAATTCAAATACCTACGCTATTTCTTTCAGTGGCTTGAATCTGGTTCACACCAAATGAACGCCCTAAGCACTTAGTAACTTTGAAGTGCAGCAGGTTACTTGCTCTTCTATTTTCTTTCCAAAGAACTTTTCATTCCCGTG